TATAAAAGAGAACACGAAGTGTATTGATCGTTTTTGACGAAAATGGTGCGAAAGGTAAAATATGGTCGCTCACATTTGCATCGCCTCGTTGGGTTCATGTTCCACATAAATCCGGCAGAATGGCATGACTAATGTAATCCACAATAGCGTAGCTGCGGTAACGAAATGTTGAGAGCTAAGAGTAACACCCAATCTTTGTTTGGAAAATGTCTAAACTAGGAGGGGAGGATACAACTGGGCTTGGAAGACAGACCCATGGTTGGAAAATTTGAAGAGAAAAGTAATTCCGTCCACAATCTGAAAGGCTGTATTGTTCATTCAGGTTCAGGTAGTTGTCTCTAAGCAAAGTGTTGTGACTAAACTTCAACAAATGGCGGAATAGGTATTGGGGTCACTTAATAAGTGGTACATTAATATGAGATCGCCGCACAGCCTTCGGTAGAGTCCTGTAAAAATTCTGCAACTTCAGTGTACACTCCTGACCTTCTTTGTTGCATTGCGGTGTAGTCTCTATAGCACCTAGAGGCCACTTGCTAGCCAAGGTTGCCAGGCTTGCATGGAGTAGGAATTGTGCATCATTGGGAAGGTTGATGGGTCAAACCTCCCGAGTGCTCTTCGCAGCAGACCGACGTGCTGGTTTCCTCCATTCGCAATTACCTCAAACTGTTTAGAACAGTAGAGATCACACTGTACGAGCACACCAGCAGTGTGTGTGCCCTAAGCCAATGAGTTTAGTCATGGCTGTGGCGTAGTTAAACAACACGGCATTCGGCTACATTGAACGGTAGAGTATTTTGAACTGACCAGTTCAGAATCCTGTTAAGATCGCCCTGGAGCTCCTCGTGGTCATCCGGTCCTGATGGAACGACACGTGTTACAATCATCTGATAAGAATAGGAAGTCAGAACCAATTGATTGCGCTAGATCAATCATAAAAACTAAGAATAGATGTGGCCTTAGTACAAAGCCTTGGGGTACACCGTACCCCAATTTGACTGCATCGGACAGAGATTCCCAGACACTCACATCCAACGGAGGTTTGCGCAAAAAATGTTTATCCACTGCAGGATTGGGTCGCCATAGCCTGTGAAGAACTTGATGGGCCCAGCGAGCAAACACTTTTGAGAAGTGCAGGTATTTAAGATCGATTCCCGCTCCACCACCAAATGCTTCAGATCAGCTAGTGGTGCATTTTACAGGTTCGTAGTATATGAGTGCTTTTGGCGGAAGCTATGTTGCTCCGGGGTTAGTAAGCTGTGGTTTTCCAGAGACTGCATCAGCGCATCGGCGATGATTGATTCCATAACTTTGGAAAGCACCGAAAGCAGCGTACTTGTACGGTAATTGGCAAGGTCAGTGCGACTAGCTTCCTTACGAATAGGAGTGATGACCCCTTGACTCCAGATTGATGGGATATGGCTCTCATCATCATCACGATTATACACGTTGGCTAGAGATGAAAAATACAGCTGTTGTGCCGCAATACAATAGAAAAGAAAATATGCAACAAAGGCAAGCCGGCTGAGTCATCAGTAACAAGTGGGCATCATTACGAAGAGCTAACAGCCGGCCATTGTGACGCAAAAAGAACTATTATACTATGCACATGAATTGAGATCGTGGTTGGAAGGGGGAGGCTAAGCGGGAGGGGGAGGGACAAAGAAATTCACAACACGAACACCACTGAGGTCGCCTTCTAGTCATATCAATAAATGTACCCAGCCAAACGTGCTCTAGGGAGCTGAGAGGCTCCAACGGAGGCCAACTTCGAACTAATAGCCTTCATATCTCTTGACCAAGTCATAGCTTAGCCATCTCTCCTCTTCTTCCACCCACACCCCCGGCGTGTAAAAATACGCATATCGCGGGAGTCGGTGGGTTGGTATGCTCAACACGTGGCCCAGCTATTGGAGCTCACCTCTAGATATTGATGATAGAAAATGGACAGTGGTTCTGCCAGTTCACTGATCATTGCCTGCAGAACATTCGGTCGAAAGTTGTCGATTCTAGGAGAACTGTGGATACGCAAGGATAATAACTTCTTCAACACCGCTTCTGCAATGAAGGTGATGTTGGATAGATCTGACAGTGGGGTAAAAGAAATGATAAGAATATTTGGACTCGTTGCCATCTGGAAAGGATGGAAGTAAGAAAATTGTAAGAGATGGGCTGCCTCCCTTGCTGACAGCGTGTATCCAGCCGCCGTGAGCAGTGCTGGAATTCAGCGCTTCACCTTATAAAGCTCATTAACGTGCCTGTATAACAGTTGGTGGCTCGTGCAGAAGTACTTCATGAACTCCTGCTGATGCATTGTCTTGTCTTCGTAGATCAAGTTTACACAGAAGTTACAACGAGACATGTGTGCTGTCCAGGTTTCAGCATTCAGACAGTCCTTGCGAGCTCACCATGCCGAATCCCTCAGGGACATACATTTACGTGTTCTGCTCCTCAGAAATGACGCATTACATTCGAGGTTGGAAGTATTCCGCTTCCGACGCGTGCGCTACCAGAGTGCCAAACGTCTTTTGAATGTCTCCCAGGTGATTACTGGGGGTATTAAGTAAAGAAAATCCAAAATGTGTCCTTAACAAACACGGATCACACATTGTAGTGTCTGACTGTATACACTTTATTATCCTCCTTTTCAGGATATACCGCATAGCATACATAGTCAAAGAGTAGAGTAACATGGTCACTGTGATCAAACGGTGTTCTTGTACTTATCCCGTTGACCATGGATTTTTCGTTGCTGATAACAAGAAGAGATACCAAAGGCCTGTTGGTAGTTCAAAATCTTGTGGCAGTGGTTGCTTGGTTGTACAGAGGATAGTTGGGAATGAGCTCTTGCAAACAGGCTTTAAACTGTGCCCCGTCGGTTGTTCGCTTCTCCAAGTCGTGCACATTAAAGTCTCCAGCGATAAGAATGTGGCTATATGACATATTAAAAGAAACCGGAAAGATGTTGTTCAGTTTTGAGTCCACTTCCGAAATATAGTGTTCAGAGAGCGGTAACTTACAGCTACAAAACGTGTTGTTGTTGTTTCGCAACCATGGCAGGCACTAAAGCGAATCCAGGGCGCGGATTTCCGAGTGCTTAATAACTTCACTTCAGAGGTTTAAAAAATAAATCGCCAGCTGTACGCTATAACGGCGCTTCGCTGCCGCGCGACTACCACCAGTCGCGCGCGGGCTGAGTATACCGCGCTTACGTGAATTCGAGCCGGTAACTTTATAGTTGCGAGTTAGGCGTGCAGACCACTCGGCCATTAGCAGAAGGTTTACATTGTAATAAAAGATCAAATCAACACCACTCCTTCCAGTTCTATCGTTCCGAACCAGCGACATACTTGGCAAGTGGATCACAGAATCAATTATATCAAGGTGGAACCAGATGATGTCCTGCCGCTGTTAGGCGTGGTGTTCCCTAAGTTTGACCAACCTACTAAGAAAGTTTTGAGCGTTAATGTACGGACAGGATGGTGTTTTGGGTGTTAGGAGTGCGTTGCTGGATGTTAAATTCGTGTTTGGTTTTAAGTCGCTGTTAGGTAGTCAGTCACTAATCGATTTTTTGCTTGGTCATTTTATAAATTTCAGTCGGGCTGCATGGTTTTGGTGTTCCAGATAAGAATGAGCACACGTGCCTCGTTCTTGTTGTTTGCCGTGGATACAGTGTATCCGCCTATCCGTGGAATTGTGGAGACAAGAGATTTACTGAGGTTACAAGTTCCATCGAATTGCTGACCACTAGTGAACGTGTGTCTGTTGCTTTTAGCCAAATCTCGGTTGATAACCAGGCACGAAAGTCGGGCCAGTTAGCCAACAGAGCTTGCGTCATTCCCACAGAGTGTAGCACGATTTTCGTTAATCTTCAGTAGCTCTTGTAGTAAAATGATGAAGAATTTCTAGCTAACAATTTAACGATAATATAGTCCAGAGAAATTATTCCACTGAGGTAGCACCACTGTCCTCGGATATGTGTTTGCGTTTCGTGATCGGGAGAATCCGGTAACTAGGGTACACCATTTTTTGTGTTCGTCGCAATCAGCCGGCAATTCAGATAAGTCTACTACCTCTCCGGAAAAGCATCAGACGGCCATTTCGCCCTATTGGGACTCGTCAGTGGTGCGCATCCTTTTGTCCTCTACGGAAGATCGAACCCATGACTGCTAGTGGCTTGTACTAACTCGTCCGCAGCTCATGCCACTGAACCATGGGGGAAGGTAGCCGACCATCACGAATTGTTAGCCAACTGCGATATAGCCCGACCCATCCTCCAATGTTATGCAGCCACTTGCCATGCAGATGACAGCGGTTGGCCTTCCGCCGTCAGGACTTCTCGGTTACGGCAGCTATGAACTGACATAGCATTTGTGAAATCTCATAGCGTCGCAGATGGAATTTCGGTGGTTGAGATCATTTAGCAACTTGCCAGATTGAGACTCAGGAATGTTAGTGCACATGAGATTCGATGCACTGTGGCTTTATTTAGTGAATGTTGGTTTGAGAGTTACTGCTGGTGATCTCGACTGTTTAGGAGGCGCCACTGGAGTTGACAATGAAAGCTGTGTCGAAGGTTGGAGGCTACTCTCGCATGAGTCAGATGTGATCGTCATGTCGCCGCCCGAATCGTCTATATGCAAAACCAATAATTACCATAAACGTGACTAGCCTCAAGTTTCTCTCCCTCTCTGTCGGTTCGATCGATCTGAGTATCCACACATGGTGTGCTAAACTTTCCAAATATGGAGGATCTGACGGCTGGGAACCCATGTGGCCTGCCGGATGTAACAAAACGTAAGGGTCCCGCAAATGTCACATCGAGGTTCCGTATCTCTCAAGGTTTGGAAGAGGAGGAAGGTGCCTAGTGCATGACCTGCTGATGTAAGTCATAAGTAGTACTGATGTGTAGTATGACAAGCTAGTTATGTTTGAAAAATTCAATGAACTTTCAAGCCAAACACTGCGGGTAGGGAAAATAGCATAAAAATCGTTGGGCTTACCGTCCTTTTCCTCAACAACTTCTGCGTCCTGTTGTGGAGGCAGGTCTGGTACGAGATCGTCTAAGTCGGGTACTGCAATAGGGATATCCGGGACAGCCATTTTGGCTCGTCGCTTTAGGCGTTCCCTCATACGTGCAGCAGGTCTCCTACCTGGTTTTGTAAATTGGACCAAATCCTTAGGGTAACTAGGACACAAGCAAAGACATAAGGCTGACACATGAAAGAAAGAAAGTTATTGGTTGAAGATGTGGCTGTGTTAGAAAAGAAAGGATTTGCATGCATCATATTCGAAACAGTGTACGTCGCAATTGCCAGGTACATGACCAGATGTTAATCAGGTCAAAAGCTGCTAATGTCCACACAAATTAAACCCAGTATTCTGTTTGAGCACATTGAAGAGATGGTGAGATTGCTGCATTCTCAAAAGGCTACGGCATTCCAGTAGGTTATACTGTATTGTCAGTTTCAGAGGATGCTGTGGTTAAGTTACAGCAGGGGGAGGCAAATGTGGTTTGGATTCTTCAGAAACTGGTAAAGCATTACGAGGTCCTCGTGCAAACGCTGATATCGATTGCTGTAAATTCCTAGGGACTTCAATCTAAACTGATAGGGCAGGTGTAAGAGGTCGGTAAGGTTCTTGGTTACCAATCGTTGAGAAGTCTCGACAGCAACGAGATGCTGTTGCTGCCGCGTCTGCCACACGCTTGGATGGCGTTTTTCACGTGTGGTCACTCGCAGCTATTAAGCAGTCGTGGGAAGACTGATGGATCAAATCGAAAAGAAGCTGCGCGAAGAAGGCCAAAGTGTTGATTGCCGGTTCTCAACACTGCTTACTTTGAGCATCTGAGATCATCCTGTACCACTATACTCAAGTCATGCTGCAGAGGCCTTCTACAAGGTGCGGTCTCCTTGCACATGCTCACCGGCTGGTGACGCAGATGGATCACCTTGCACTTAGTTGTGTTCGACTGGCCATTTATAAATGCAAAGTAGGTCATGTTGGAGTAGATCGTGATCTTCCCTGTTATTAATCGCCCGCCATACCTTGACATCATCGGCGAAACCAGATCTGAGGATAACTTGTCAGATTGCAGATAAACACACGGAACAGACGAGGTCCCAGCACCGAGCCCACATCACAATCCACCTCTAGCGGGTTAGAGAGTGATCATCTAACACGCACCTGAAACCTCGGTTGGTGAAGAAGGTTGCTAATCCAAGCAAGAAAAGGATCACTGATTGTGAAGCACTATAGCCTACAAAATAGGATGCGGTGAACTAGACGGTTGAAGGTTTTGGGAAAGTTCAGATAAATGACATCAACTCCGACGCTACCATCAGCCACTTCCGTCCAACTATCTCGAGCCATCAGCAGGTTGGTGGTGCATGACCGGTGTTGACGGAAGCCATGTTGTTCCGTGCCAAAACGTTGCATTTCTCCAAGTAGTCCATTAGAATCTCAGTGACGACCGTCTCCATAACCTCCACGAACAAAAAGAGGAGAGCCACTGAGCAATATTTCGCGGAGATTCTGATAGATGCACACTACTGACGAGACCCAACAAGTAGAAATGACCGCCCAGCTGGTTCTCCGGACACGTGGGGAGGACCAACTGATTTGGAAGCTACTACGGAGTAACCCCCGACAAATTAAATCAAAAATCCCCTACTCATGAATAAATCTATTCTGCTGTAGATAACCACGTTCTCATTTGCTACACTGGTTCACATTCGGATGAGATGAAACGGATTTGTTGGGTTCACGGCGCATAACAGAGTGAAGAAGTGTCCAGCCGAGCAGATTGCCTTCAGCTGACGGCAATACCAACCCCGCAAATATCTTGAGCCATTGAATCGGTATCGCCAGATACGCGAAGAGTGTAGTCACGATTGTCAGATTCAGAACCAGTAAGTCGAAGACTCGTCACAACGCTGTTATCTTGTATGCGTATTTCGGAGACACAGCACACACCAACATCAAGAGAGTGAAGAGTGAGAGTCAGTGCCGCCTGCTGGTCTATATGACCTGGAGTGCGGACGTTGAGGGAACCAATGCGAAATGAAACTCTAGGTTTGATGGAAGGGCTGCATGTACCAATGGCAGCAGCAGCAAAGTCAGGGGCAGTTTTTTGTTCAATAGAAGGTGAAAAAGATAGGGGATAGGAGAGAGAAAAACAAGAAGGGAGTTTTGTCGATGTGGTCGAGAGGGCAGATAATGCTGTCCGGCCGCCCATTCCGAGAGAGGGGTTTTACTGGATACTGAATACTGAGAATAGAAAGCGAGAAGATAAAAATCGGTGGTGGTCCATCGTAGGTGGATGGGACATAAGCGCGGAATCAGGTCGCTGATTCCTGCGCGGTGGCAGCATATTGCAGCTGCACTACACCTTATCCGGGTGCGATACACTCCCTATACCTGTAGATCGCAAAGTAAGCGTCAAGGAATCACTCGAATTCGGACATCGATTTCGCCTCGACTCGCTTCTCCGGCAATTTGTTCCAATATTTCACTAATCGATGCTCGAATCATAGAGGGTGAGCAATGCACTTTAAATCCGGTACTATTCGTTTGTACCGGTGTCCGCGTGTGTTGTTTGGTGTGCGAACGTGCAGCAGCGGCCTCAACATAGGGAAGTGGCCCAGGTGCAGTATCCGGTGCGTCCAAATGATCAACTCGAAGCCGACGATATGATAGGGTAAAAAACCCTAGTCTCCTATATCGGTCCTCGTACGACATAACCCGCAAACTGAGGATGAGCCGGGTAGCTATATGCTGGACCCGTTCCAGTCTCTGCACCTCACCATTTGTGATTGGACAATAGGCAGGTGAGCCGTACCCAAGCACCGGTTCTGGTTTGGAAGAGAACAGGCGGGTGGCAATCTCTTCAGACCAAGTGCAGAAGCTGCGTCGAAGTGCTCAAAGTATGCGTACTCCGTTTGCGTACGGTCTGTTCGTGTTGTCGACAGACTTCAGATCATTGCGTGAGAGTACGCCATCCTTTACAGAACTGGTGGGATGCAGCGGGTGGCCGGCAGGGTGTACGTACGGCCATTATCACCCCTACCCAGGCTCATAAACGAGGATTTGGCCGCGTTGACGGGTAAGTCAACTTCTGCAGACCATCGGGATAGGCGGTCGAGGTCCTGCTGAGGGACATCATAGTCGTCGGGAGAATCAATAATCCTCCAAATCTTCAGGTCGTCCGCAAATAATATGCAGGGCGACTCGAAGATACGGAGATACTTCGTTGATGTGGATCAAAAACAAAATGGGCCCCAGTACTGTACCTTCGGGTACGCCGCTAATGGAGGGTACCACTCCCTTAGGTGGTCCTCCACCTGAACCTGATATCTTCTCCCAATAAGTCACTTATCTACTGGTGCAGTGCGCCACTAACACCACACATCCTCAGCGTGTGGAGCAGGACCTCATGGTTCACTTTATGGAAAGATTTACTGTATGTACATAAAACCCACTAAGTTCCCCAGATTCAGTGCTTGCAACCACTCCTGCTGCGCCAACAGCGGGTTGGTGATGCACGAGCGGACCTCCATAGAGTCGCGTTTTGCCGGGGTTAGGAGATCTTTCGACTCCAGCAGCTGGAGAAGACCCTTTTTCACAATCTTCTTGAGAACCTTCGCCAAAACAGAATTGAGACAAATCGACCGGTAATTATCCCCATTGCGTGAGTCACCGCCTTTTGGAATCGGCTTCACCCCCGAGCATTTCCAGTCGGTCAGCAAGGCACCCTCGGACCGCGATCTGTTGAACAGATCTATCACAACAGGCGAGATGATGACCGTTAAGGACTTTAAAATTAGCGGGTGAAGACCATCGGGTCTGGCGAGTTTCGTGCAGTCAAGACTAGCGAGCAGACTGCGGACATCTTCTACACCACAGTTCAGGCCCTCGAGTTCAGTAGGTGCTGTACACGTCGAGCTCGGCGTAGGCGCATGCCTACTCGTAAATATGGAAGCGAAGTGCTCCACCAATAGGGATGCACATTCAGTGCTGCAGGTCAGAGGCTGTCCGTCAATACCCTCTAACACAGCTACGTCACTTGCCGGCCTCAGAAGCCTCAGACGGCGGACGTGAGTAGGGTAGCGGCAGCTCTAGGCTGGCTAACACCATAAAGTGGTCACTAGCAACCAGAGGCTCCAGGAGTTGAGCTTCATATACACGTTGCTCGCAACGCGTTAGTAGTAGGTCTAGGCACTATGGAGCGGAATACGGTGTAACGCGCGTCGATTGACAATGTTGTGCTACTGAAATTTCAAATACCAGTTCCACAAATTGCGCCTCGATTTCACAGCAAACACAAGCACGCTGTAGTTGGGGAATCAAGCGCACACAAGGCGGTGGCTGGACCGTAGTCCGCTCCACACTGACTGCAGGGAACCACTCTTTGATCCTAACACGGCCACAAGGGCCGTGCACAACTCAGCAATTTGATGCCAGGATAATTCATGCAACATTGCTTGCTGTCTTTACTATTGTACAATGATAGCACAAGGGCATCCTTCAGCTCAGCAGGCACCTCCTCCTCAATCCATACACCAAATGGTGCAGCGCAGTCATCAACGCGGGTTCGCCGTGTTTCAATAGTTCAATCGGGATCCAGTGGGCCCCAGCACACTTGCCGTTGCGCAGCTGAGCAAGTGCTCTCTGCGTCTCATCTAGTGTCGGCGTGTCGACCAGACTCGTCTTCACATCGTGCTGCTTGAGGCCGTTCAATGTAGACCAACCGATCCCTGAACAGTTGTTCAAGAGACAGTCAAAGTGTTTCTGCCAGATCTTCATTATGTCTACAGTCTGTCTGCAGGTAGCGCCTGAACTACCAGCGATCAGCGTCCTCAACGGTTCCAATCTCGGTCCATACACCGCCTGCAAGGAGTCAAAGAATTCCTTGTGTTAGCGACGTTCGGCGTAACATTCCATCTGCTTCGCGGTCTCCGTCCACCATGCATCTTTAATGCGACGGAGCTCTCGGGTCAGTCGCCGTTGAAGTTTGCGAAACTGACTTTTCTTCCCCAAGTTACTGGGGTCTGCCACATGTGCAGCAAACGCTGAATTCTTCTCCGACACCAAAGCGCCAATCGTCGCATTGTTGTTATCAAACCAATCAGGCCGCTTACAGTTTGCACGCCCGATGGTCTCTTCGGCAGCAGCTGTCACCTGGTCGCG